TCCTTCTAGCTTAATGAGAAAGATGAAGGAAACAGGTCAACTTGAAAACATTTGGAAAGGCCTCTCAGTCACTGGCTAGATTTCCCTTCGCATTGCTAGCAGCAGTATAGATGTATATCGTCTCAGTGTTTCTCCTTCCGGAAAATGCGTTCATCACCTGGCTTTTTGCATGTGAGCTATCTTCCCGTTGACGGCATCTGTGGGGTTGCTTTCGGACAGAGCACTGGTGCTCGGTTGGCTATTTTTGCTGAGGTAGAGAGCGCAACGCGGTTCATGTGATGGATCAGGTAGTTCCCTGTCTTCTTCACAGGGCTTCCATAAGAAGCGAATGGGCGAATGCAACATTCAGGTGCATGGAGTCCCTGTGCCGGCGTTGTGAGGACATTTCCGCATTTCGACACAGGCGTTGCGTTATTCACAACCTAATGCAATCATTGGACAAACGATGGGGATCTTGAGGTGCCTTTTGCAACCTAGCATTGCGGAAGTTGGTAGTGTTGAGCGTCCATCGAGCTACTCGCTGCGTCAGACAGCCAGCAACTGGAGTGCTGTGTAGGTGCGGCTGAGGGCCAGTAGCATTTTTGGACCTAAATCGGCACATGTTGAATGAAGGATCCGTGGTTTTTCCTTCCAGATCGAACTCAAGAAACATGCTTCACTAGGGAAAGCTGCACGAGCAGAAAACGCATGCTGGAATATTACTTTAAATAACTCGAATACTCTAAACCCTAAACCCTAAACCCTAATAGGGCCTTTAGCGAAAGAGCGTTTTCGCTGGCCGACTATAATAAATAATAAAGAAACGAATCACCACCTCCATTCACTTTATTTATTTATTGATTTATTGATTTATTGATTTATTGATTTATTTATTATTTCAGAAATCTGGAAATAACAAATGAAAGATATAAAGAACTTAAACTGCTGCCCCCCAGCAGTTTGTCGCTGCAGGATTTTGTTAAGATGAAGGCGAGCCAATTTATTTATTTATTCATTTATTTTCAAATTAATTAACTAATTAATTAAATTAATTAATTAATTAATTAATTAGATTAATTAATTAAATAATTAATTTAATTAATTCATTAATTTAATTTAATGAATTAATTAAATTATTTAATCTTATTTTTTTGTTTAGGCGCATGAGATGGTGATGCCCTACAAAGAGAAGCAGCGAGAGTTGGAACAAGAGATATATGACCTCACGTGAGATTTTGCTGCTGCTGCTGCTGCTGCTGCAGTTGTTGATGCTGCTGTTGCTGCTGCTGTTCCTGCTGCTGCTGCTGTTTTTGTTGCTGCTGTTGCTTCTACTGCTGCTGTTGGTGCTGCCGCGTCTGCTGCTGCTGCCATTGTTGCTGCTGCTTCTGCTGCTACTGTTGCTGCTGCTGCTGCTGCACTGTTGCTGCTGCTGCTGCTGCTGCTGCTGCTGTTGCTGCTGCTGCTGCTGGAGATCTGGCCGCACTTATGCAAGCTGAGGTGTATAGGGAGGCCTCTAGCAGCTAGGTGCCCGAACCCTAAACCCTAAACCCTAAACCCTAATCATTTCGTTTTTATTTTTGCATCAGCAATGCCTTTGAAGAAAAGAAATGCGAGAATTGCGATTTGCTTTCGCAAGAAGTACAAACGCTCCAGGTAAACCCCCAAACCCTAAACCCTAGACCCTAAACCCTAAATCCTACCCCTAAACCCTAGCCCTAAACCCTAGACCCTAAACACTAATATATGGAATCTGATCTAAGGCAGGGGAAAGGGACCTCTAAAAGGATTAAAAGCTCGATGTCTATTGTTTCGGGATTATAATCTAGGGTTTAGGGTTTACGGTTTAGGCTTAGGGTTTAGGGTTTAGGGTTTAAGGTTTAGGGTGTAGGGTTTCGGGCTTAGGATTTGAGGGTTTGTAGGAAGCTCTGGCAGCAATGGAGAAAGACATTCAACTCGAGTCTGAAGAGATAAGGCGCGCCAAAACCCTAAACCCTAAACCCTAAACCCTTGGCCCTAAACCCTAAACCCTACGCTCCCAAATTCAGCCCCTACGCTTCGAAACTGCGACTGCGAACCTCTTACCCTAAACCCTAAACCCTAAACCCTTAACCCTAAACCCTAGATGCGGTTTGGTTGTGTTCTTGACATTTGTTCTGCTTCAGAAACGAAGACACTGAGGAAGCCAAAGAGGCTGAGGTAACTGTTGCTGCTTCTCTTTGCCACATATCCAATTAAAAGAGGGAGCTAGTAAACCCTAAACCCTTTTTTAGGGTTTGCGTGGCTGAGGCAGGCTGCAGCAGAGGATCAGACAAAGGAACCTTCGGCAGAAGAAACAGAAAAAAAGGACGCAAGCCCCAAACACTTTCAATTAATTAATTAATTAGTTTATTTATGAATTAATAAATATAATAATATTATTTATTTATTTATTTATTTATAGATTTTTGTGTTGAGTTCATTTGTTCAAAGTCGCCCATTCAACATTTTGAATGCGCAGCTGCAAAGGGCTCTGCATGCGTTTGTGTTTGATTTATAACTTTAATTCATATAAATAAAAAAATAAATAAATAAATAAATTTGAAACAAATAAATTTAAACAAATTTAATTCCATTTAAATTCAACTTCCGTCGTTTCTTGTGCCCTGTTCTGGCCTCAGTCGCTTTTCTAGAGCTGAGGGTGGCATGTTGAAATTCAGATTTTGAATTATTTCGGGTTTTTTTGGCGTAATTTGCTTCTTTTAATTTTATTTCTTCCGAATTAAAATAATAATTGCATTTTAACTCCTTAATTCTTTTCAAGTGGTTCAAAATCGGGAAAAAAAGAAAGCTTTCCGCAAGAGTGGATCTGCTGCGCCGCAGGCCGAGCTGCATGTACACCTGAAAAAAGCCCGCGACAAAATCCACTTTTTAGAAAAACAAAATGAAATATTAAAAGCAGCGGCAGAAACAAATACTTTTAAACTTGCTGCGCAGCACCAAAGCCAGCTCCTGCGCCTCCATGCACAGGCGAGACAACGATTTAGGGTTTAGGGTTTAGGGTTTAGGGTTTGGGGTTTGATGTTTAGGGTTTAGGGTTTAGGGTTTGGGGTTTGATGTTTAGGGTTTAGGGTTTGGGGTTGAGCTGCTAATGCTGAGGAATAAGGGGTAAGAACTTCGGAGTTAATGTTTATTGTTTATGGCCTAGTTCTAAGGTTTGAAATCTAGGGTTTACTTAGGGTTTAAGGTTTACGGTTTAGGGTTTAGGGTTTAGGGTTTAAGGTTTGTGTTCAGCATGAGGCAGAAAAGAAAGTGCTGCAAAGCGAGTTGGAATTAAAATTTAAATCTCAAGAAGAACAAATTCAGCGAAAAGCAGAAAAAGACCTGCTGCAGTACAAACTCCAAGTAACCCTAAACCCTAAACCCTAAACCCTAATCTCTGAACCCAAACCCTAAACCCTAATCTCTGAAGCCAAAACCTAAACCCTTAGCTATAGTTCCTATAAGGTAAACCCCAAACCCTCACATTCGGAGTGCGGGCTCTAATTATGATATCTGCTAATTACAGCTCTTTGTCTAATCCATAATCTTAAACCCTAAACCCTAAACCCTAATTCTAAGCCCTTAAACCCTCGCCCTAAACCCTCAAACCCTAACCCCAAACCCTTGGGTAGCTCCAGCACCAAGTGACCTAAACCCCAAACCCTAAACATCAAGCCCTAAACCCTAAACCCTAAATCCTAAACCCTAGGGGCTTTGGGGTGGATGTACAGCTGGACGCTGCGGAGACAAAGGCGGAAAGTTTGGAAGTGAAATATCATCATTCTGAAACTCGATATGAGGCAAGACTTTCTATTTATTTATTTATTTTTTTATTTTATTTATTATTTAATTTCATTTTATTTATTATTTATTTATTTATTTATTACTTATTTATTTATGCTTTTTTATTGTCTTTCCATTGTGCGTCGTTTGTTGTTTATTGGCGCTGCTGCTTCTCCAGTTGGCCAAATAAAAAGATAAATAAATAATAAATAAATAATAAATAAATAAATAAATGATAAATAAATAAATAATAAATAAATAACAAATAAATAAATAAATAATAATAATTTAAATAATTTAAATAATTGATTTCTTCAGGAAGTTGCTTCTGCACTTTGCAAAACGCATGCAGCCCATCAAGAGTCTCTCGCGAAACTTTCAGCTCAGGTTCGAAGTTAGGGTTTAGGATTTAGGGTTTAGGGTTTAGGGTTTAGGGTTTAGGGTTTGGGGCTCAGGGTTTAGGCTGAAGAAGCAGCAGCGGGGAAACCAGGGTTCAGCTGTTTACTTGCAGTGCTAGGGGTTAAGGGTCTTGGGCCTATGGCTTAGGGTTTAGGGTTTAGGGTTTAGGGTTTAGGGTTTAGGGTTTTGTTTGCAGCTGCAGCTGAGCGCTGCTGAGCTGCAGAAAATGAAGATTGCACTTGAGGCTTCGAAAGAAGAAAAGGAAAAAAACGAAGACGAAATAAAACAATTGAAAGAAGAGCTGCAGGCCACACAGCACGTAAACCCTAAACCCTAAACCCTAAACCCTAGACACTAGGCCGTAGTTTAGCTTTAGTATTTAATTTACTTTAAGAGTGTAAATATTTTAATTCATTTATAATTTCCTTTCTCCTGTCTTTCAGCCTCTCAGGTGTACGCACACCTGGGCTCAAAGATAGCTGTTTGAATCACTTTAGGGTTTAGGGTTTAGGGTTTTGGGTTTACGGTTTAGGGCTTGGAGCTTTGGGCCTGGGCTTTGGGGTTTAGCGTGTAGAGTGGAGGGTTTAGGTTTTGGGGTTTTTGACGTTTGGGCTTCAGGTCTTGGGGCAAGAAGCGTCTAGTAGGGTCTAGGGTCTAGGGTCTAGGATTTAGGGTCTAGGGTTTAGGGTCTAGGGTTTAGGGTGTAGGGTTTAGGGTTTAGGGCGGTTGTTTAGGACTTGGAAGAATCCGAAAAGAAAGCAAAAGAAGAAATGGTTTTGCTGGAAGAACTAAAAATAGAACTTTCTGCTTTTCAGCGGTTTGATGAAAGACTCGAAAAGTGCTTCACCATGATCGTCGAGTCCGGTAACCCTAAACCCTAAACCCTAAACCCTAAACGCTAAATCCTATCTCCTGAGTGCTAGGCCGTAGAGCCTACTAGACGCTAAACCCTACTAAACCCTTAGCCCTACTAGATCCTAAACCCTGTTAAACCCTAAACCGTACTAGGCCTCAAACCCTACAAAACCCTAAACCATAAAACCCCTAAACCCTGGTAAACCCTAAACCCTCCTAAACCCTACTAAACCTGAATGCTGAGGACTAAACGCTGATAATCCCTAAACGCTAAAGCCTAAACCCCATAAAAGCCTAACCCCCGCTAAACCCTAAACCCTCGTAAACCCTAGACCGTGAACCCTTGAGCTGAAATGCTAAGCGCGTAGCCGTAAACCCTAAACCCTAAACCCTAACTCCTTCACTTCGGGCTTTTGTGTCTTTTAATTGCTAAACTATTTATTTAGTTGTTAAATTAATTTATTTGTTTCTGTCTTTCTTCTTTCTTTTGCTGCTGCGCAAAGTTGCTGCTGCGGCGGTGGAGCTGGGGTGTACGTACACCTCAGAAGGCCGTCGCGGCGGCGGTCGATCTTTCCGGATTTTTTTCATTTTCTTGAATTCAAAAGCCGAATGTGTGAAATAAAAAGAATTTAAATGTGTTTAATTGATTATTTTTGACTCAAAATGGTGCATTTAGTTGGATTTGGTGGTTTATTTTCCGGAATTTCGACTCCGTTTCCGCAGAAACGCCCCCCAGCCAAGAACTCGTTGCCCCTTTTCTCAACTTGAAAGTCCCCGGCTATAAACTGCTGCAAAAGGCCTTTAATTTGGCCTTTAGACTTTTCGCTTTAAATCAAAAGTTCAAAAAAATGGAAGTGAGGCTTTAAACGCAATTAAATGGATTAAAATAGTAATTAAAATGATTAAATGGCAGTTGAATTAACAAAATAATTATTAAATTAATCAAAGTAACTAGAATCGTTCATTATAATTATTAAGTTGGTGAAAAAATTTTAAATTTTGGGGTAAAAATGATTGAATTGAAGAGAATTGTGATTAAATAACTCAAAATAAAAATTGAATGAATGAAAAAGATATTAAAATAAATGAAAAGAATAAAAAAATAAATGAAAAGGATTTAAAAAGTAAATCGAAGCGATTAAAAGAATAAATGGAAATGGTAATAGAAGAATGGATATAAAGATAAAAAGATTGAAAATGGTAAAAAGGGAATGTTGATTAAAATGATTAAAAGCGATTATTAAAAAGAATGGAAATTATAATAAAATAAAACAAGATGACTATTAAAAAGAATGAAAATAACAATTAAAAGAAAGATAATTATAATGCAAGAACAGAAAAATAAAAAAAGATTTGAAATGGTCTTGTAATAGAAAACAAGAAAATAAGATTTGTTTTGCTCTTCCATTTGTCTGTTCAAAGTGTCATTTGAAATGTACTTTTGTTATTTAATTACTTAATTATTTGATCCTTTAAGTATTTAATTATTTAAATTTAAATCCAAATTTAAATTCAAAAACGGAAATTATTTATTTGCAAGCAAAATCTTCGTGGAGTGTATCACAATAATTTGCAAAATAATTCAAATACACTTTTATATTAAAACGTTCTTAATTTAATTTAATTTAATTTGTTTTGTTATTTCATTTTATTTTGTTTTATTTTGTTTTATTTTATTTTATTTTATTTTATTTTATTTTATTTTATTTTATTTTATTTTATTTTATTTTATTTTATTTCTTTTTTTGCGCAAAATGCACATTGTTCTGGTGTACATACACCGCAGACTGCATTGCATTTTCCAAATTGTAGATTTAATATTATTAAATATATTTTACCATGTCTTTAAAATTGCATATGTTATATTGATAAACAGGATATATTTATATTTTATATCCAAATAGTGCTGCATTAAATTTGTCAGTTTTGCAGCAAAATGGAATTATTTTTAAAATCAAGAATAATTAATTCTTCAAACTTAAAAGACTTTTAAAAAGAAGAAAAGATAAGACAAAGCAGAGGAGAAATTAAAATCGACACACCGACTCGTCTGCTGCTACTGCTGCCGCTGCTGCTGCTGCTGCTGCTGTTTACAGATTGAGCTGGAGACGTCGGAGGCAAAGCGGAAGCAGCTGGCTGCGATGCTGCAGGCCGAGCGCTGCTGCAACAGCAGCAGCAGCAGCATTTGCTCTTTCCCTGAGCTGCGGGAGCGTTTGCTGCAGCTGCATGCGAGATGCATAGAAGCAGAAGCAGCACTAAAAGAAGAAATAAATAAAAATAAAATGCTGCAGCAGCAAAGAGCAGCACTTGTCAGCGACCTCAAGAGGTGTCTAGACACCCGAACTGAAATGCAGCGCAGCATCGAAAATGCTGCGAAAAACAGCGCATGCATTTGCTGCTGCGTCCTGCAGCAGCAGCAGCAGCAGCTCCAGACGCAGCAGGAGCAGCAGCCAAATCCAAGTGTGGGACAGCAGCTTCAGCAGCAAATGATGCACCAACCGCAGCACATGCAGCGACAGCAGCAGCAGGATCACCTGCAGCAGCAGCAGGAACACCAACAGCTGCAGCAGCAGCAGCAGCAGGAACAGCAGCAACACTGCCAGCAGCAGCAGCAGCAACTGGCATCGGTATCCTTACTTAAGGCAACACTGCCTTGCCTACAACAGCAGCACTCGCTGCTGAGACACGCGAGCCAGCTGCAGCAGCCTTTTCAGCAGCAGCAGCTTCTGCAACAGCAGCAGCAGCAGCAGCTGCAGCAGCAGCTGCAGCAGCAGCTGCAGCAGCAGCTGCAGCAAGGATGCCTGGTTTATGAAGAGCAAACAAAGGCTAGTACGTCTTCTGAAGGGCCTAGCAGCAGCACCACTGCAGCAAGCTGCTGTTTCTCAGGAGCCAACCGCAGCAACAGCAGCAGCAGCTGCAGCAGCAGCTGCAGCAGCAGCAGCAAATGCTGCAGCTGCAGCAGCAGCTGCTGCTACAACGTGCCCTCTGCTGAGAGCCATGTGCCAGCTGCAGCAACAACAGCAGCACCAACAGCAGCTGCAGCAGCAGAAACAGCAGAAGCTCCTCGGCATCACCACCGAAAGAAATGTAAATTTCATTCCAGACTAATAAGTAAGGAAGAGACAGGAGCTGCTGCTGCTAGCTTTGGTGCTGCTGCTGCTGCTTTGCTGCTGCAGCAGCAGCAGCAAAAGCAAAAACAAGTAGAAGCAATGCAGCACTTACGGTGTACTGACACCGCAAGACAAGGCAAGCAGCTCTCCTGCTGCGTTGCTGCTGCTGCTGTCCCTCCTGCTGCTGGCTGCTGCGCTGCTGCTAAAAGCAGCAGCTGCTGCTGCAGCTCGAAACCAGCAGCAGCTGCAGCAGCAGCAGCGCACAGCAGCAACAACTGCAACGTGTCTGCGTCTTCTGTACCCTAAATATCCCCAAATGCTGCAGCAACAGCAACAGCAGCAGCAGCAAAATTTCTCTTCCTTGTTCTTTGCCCAATGCCGCGTCTCACTCTGCTTCGCAGCTGCAGCACCAGCTGCAGCAGCAGCAGCAGCAGCAGTGACCACGGCAGCAGCAGCACTAACCACAGCAGCAAGCAGCAGCAGCCACAGCAACGAGCATCAGCAGCAACTGCTGCAGCAACTGCTGCAGCAAATAGCAGTAAAAGCAGAAACAAGTGAAGCAGCAATAAACAGCAGAAGCAGCATCAAATGCTGCCAGCTAATGCAGCACTAGCAGCACTAGTAGCAGCACAAACAGCAGGAGGAGCAGCAGCTGCTGCTGCAGCAGCAGCAGCAGCAAAGTCCAAACTCCAATCTTAGCTCTCAAGAGTTGGATAAAAGGAAAAAATGAAAACGAAAAAACTGAGGGAAGCCAACGGTGAGTATAAACGAAGCAGAAGGCTTTAACACTGCTGTGCATTTGCTGCTGCAATTCAGCAGCAGCAGCAGCAGCAGCTCCTGGTATTGTTGCTGCTGCTGCTGCTGCGGTTGCTGCTGCTATTGTGCTGAGCACCGCAACAGCAGCAGCAACTGCTGCTGTAGCTCCAGCAGAAGCTCCCGCAGCTGCTGTTGTAGCTGCAGCTGCTGCTGCTGCAGCTGCTGCAGCAGCTGCTGCTGCTGCTGCGGTACTACTAGAAACGCGCCTCTTTAAAGGAGTGAAGAGCAGCAGAACTGCAGCACAATAAGGTTTTGGGTCTCGAGGCTCTTGATTAGGGGTTTAGATTAGAAGCAAGACTAAAATGAATTAATGAAAATGAAGAACATTCGCTGGTGTTCCTCTCGGGTGTACAGACACCTCACTTCTCCAGGTGTACACGCATCTTCTCCGGTTGTTGTAGCTGCACAGGCTTCTGCTGCTGCTGCTGCTCTTGCTGCTGCTGCTCTTGCTGCGGCTCCTGCTGCCGCCGCTGCTGCCTTGCTGCGGCTGCTGCTGCGGTTGCGGCTGTTGCAGCAGCTGCTGCTGCCGCCGCTGCTGCCTTGCTGCGGCTGCCGCTGCTGTTGCGGCTGCTGCTGCAGGTGCTGCTGCCGCCGCTGCTGCTGCTGCTGTCCTTGCTGCTGCTGCTGCTGCTGCTGCTACCTTTGCTGCTGCATGCACGCCACTAACTCGACGGGAAGCAAGTAAGTTTTGAGATCAAATCACTTCGGGTGTACAGGCAAATTGGGCTCTTGAGGTGTACAGACAGCTCGCGCCACTTCAGGTGTATAGGCACCTCGCCGGGTGCACTAGGTCCACATACACCGCAGAGCACTCCAATTAAATTCAAATCAAATTCATTCTTATTATTTCTTTCTTTTTAAATTCATAAATCACTTTCTCCTTGGCAAATGCATTTAAAGCGCTCCTCCTAGAAGCCGCTGTACCCTCAAGCATAACCGAAGGCACTGCTGCGTAGCTAGCTAGCTAGCTACGCAGCGGTGCCTTTGGTTATGCTTGAGGGTACTAGCTAGCTAGCTAGCCATCTAGCCCACCACCCTACCGATGAGCTAGCTAGCCAGCCGGCTAGCTGGCTAGCTCGGCAGCTCACAACCCAAGCGACAGGCCGCCTAGCTAGCTAGCTAGCTAGCTAGCTAGCTGGTCAGCTAGCTGGTCAGCTAGCCAGCTAGCTAGCTAGCTAGCTAGGCGCTGCACTGAAGCCCAGCGTGCCCCCCTGCGGCACTGGTTTGCTGGCCGCCCAGAAAGCTGCCCGGCTAGCTAGAGCTGCTCAGCTAGCTAGCCAAACAGCTAGCTAGTGCAGCAGCTAGCCAGTTAAGTGGCTAGCCAGCTGCTTCCGCCAAGCCGCTGGCTAGCTACTTTGCTAGCTAGCTAAGCAGCTAGCCAGCCACTTAGCTAGCTAGATAAGTAGCTCGCTGGCTAGCTGGGCAGCTCTGTGGCTCACTGGCTAGCTAGCTAGCTAACTGGCCAGCTAGGCAGCCGGCTCGCTGCTGAAGCATCGACCCCATCGCCGCTGCTGCTGCTGCTGCTGCTATAGCTTACCCCTCCTGCTGCTGCATGCCTTGCACGGCTCCCTGCTGCTGCTACGATAGCTGCTGCTGTTCTTGCTACGCTTGCTGCTGCTGCTGTTGTTGCTGCTACGGTTGCTGCTGCTGCTGCTGTTGCTGCTACGGTTGCTGCTGCTGATGCTGTTGTTGCTGCTACGGTTGCTGCTGCTCCTGATGCTGTTGCTCCTGCTGCTGCTACGGGTGCTGCTGCTGCTGCTGCTACAGTTGCTGCTGCTGCTCCTGCTACGGTTGCTGCTGCTGCTGCTACAGTTGTTGCTGCTGCTACAGCTGCTGTTCCTGTTGCTGTTGCTACGGCTGCTGTTGCTACGGCTGCTGTTGCTCTTGCTGTTGTTGTTGCTGCTGCTGCTGTCGCTGCTGCTGACGGAAGAAAAAAAGAACACTGTTTGTCGGTCAATGAGATGCAGCACTACAAGTATTCCTGTTCCACGCTGGCTCCACTGCCTCTGCTGCTGCTGCCTTTGCTGCTGCTGCTGCTACCGCAGCTGCTGCAGCAGTTTCCGATGCTGCTGCTGCTGCTGCCGCAGCTGCTGCAGCGGCTTCCGATACTGCTGCTGCTGCTGCAGCTGCTGCAGCTGTTTCCGATGCTGCTGCTGCTGCTGCTGCTGAGTTGCTGCTCCTGCTGCCACTGCTACGTTTGCTGCAGTTGCTGCCTCTGCAGCAGCAAATTCACCACTCTCTCTCCGGTTGCTGGTCTTGCCGCTGCAGCTTTTGCTGCAGCTTTTGCCGTAGCTTTCGCTGCAGCTTTTGCTGCAGTCCTTGCTGCAGCTTTTGCTGCAGTTTTTGCCGCAGTCCTTGCTGCAGCTTTTGCTGCGGTTTTTTGCTGCAGTCCTTGCTGCAGCTTTCGCTGCAGTTTTCGCTGCAGTCCTTGCTGCATCTTTTGCTGCAGTCCTTGCTGCAGCTTCTGCTGCAGTTTTTGCTGTAGTCCTTGCTGCAGCTTTTGCTACAGTTTTTGCTGCAGCTTTTGCTGCAGTTCTTGCTGCAGCGTTCGCTGCAGTTGCTGCTGCTGTTGCAACTCCTGGTGTTGCTGTTGCAACTTCTGCTGCATCCAGTGCTGCTTCCCTTGCTGCTGGTGCTGCAGCTGTTACAGCTGTTGCTGCTTCCCTGGTGCTGTTTTTGCTGCAGTTACTGCTGCCTTCATTCCTGCTGCAACTGCAGCTTTTGCTGTCAGCTGCAGATGTTTCTGCTGCAGTTAATGCTGCCGCTCTTGCGGCTGCTGCTGCCGCAGCTTTTGCTGCAGTTCATGCAGCTGCTTCCGCTGCTGCAGCGTTTGCTGCAGTTGGCACTGCTTTCACTGCAGTTGCTGCAGCGTTTGCTGCAGTTGCTGCAGCGTTTGCTGCAGTTTGTACTGCTGGCTTTGCTGCTGCTGCTGCCGCCGCAAATGTTTCCAAATCAGCTGCTGCCGCCCTCGTCTGGTCCTCTGCTATGGCCTCTTCTGTGCCGCATCTGCTGCATTCCTGCTGGTGCTGGTGCTGGTGCTGGTGCTGCTGGTGCTGCTGGTGCTGGTGCTGGTGCTGCTGCTGCTAGCCTACAGTAACGTAATAGTCCAATGGTTCTCTGACCAGCGCATTTGCTGCCGCCACTTCTTCAGGCGTAACTCTAAAAGGCAGCACAACGCCTCCCGCGCTGCTGCTGCTGCTGGTGCTGCTGAAATCGCCTGCAGCAGCAGCAGCAACTGCTGCTGCAGGGCACACGGGAGAGAAATCTCCTCCGTCCAATTCTGCGGTGCTGTACCATTCCCTCAGCATGCAAATAGGAGCCCCCCAGGCAGCAGATGGGTTTGCTGCTGCTGCTGCTGCTGTTGCTGCTGCTGCTTCTGATGCTGCTGCTGGTGCTGCTGCAGGTGTCGAGAGCTGTGCAGGAACGGGGTCGACCCCTAAAGCAGTGCCTGGAGCAGCAGAAGCAGCAGAAGCAGCAGCAGCAGCAGCAGACCTCTGCCTCAAGCCGTAATAGCTGACTTCTTTCTCCCGTGTCTTCTTAGCAGCAAAATGAAAAGGCTGTGGGGTGGCCAGCGGCAGCACTGCAGCACGCCGCAGGAAGCGTTTGCTGCCAGCTTCTCTTTCAAG